GGTCAACTGTGAACCTATTGATCGGTAAAGCTTTATCAAGAATCTACGCATTGCTTTCACATACTTTTTTGTCTTGCTAAGACAAACTTTATCAACTGCTTGAAAAGATTTTCCAAGAACTAAACGAAGTTTCTTCAGTCTGCAAAGGGTTCTGTGAGATTGATGATATACCACAGTCCTCACCATGTAGAACAAGTATGATAGTCTCCATTATTATCTTTCATAATAAATCCCGGTAGGATGTTAATACTTTGAAAAAAAACCAATCAAATTATTAAGAAGAAAGAAAATTGATGAATAACTTTTTTCCTCTACTCATGATGTGTATAGACGGAAAAGTCCTACTGGAAGAAAACAAATAACACTTTAAGTACTGTCAGTCTATAAACACTCGACTGAAAGTGACGATTGCTCAGAGAGATTAAACAAGCAATTTTCGCTCTATAGTTTTGATCCATGAACAATTATCACGTCATAAAATATTTACTAGCACCTAAGCACCATCAATCGTTAAAAAAAATATATCCTTGGATATAGATCTAAGTGAACAACATCAAAATAGAACGTCACGTGTTTAGGACTTGAAGAAAACTATTACTGATGATTTTGATACACATTTTCCCTTGTCCATTTCACTGTGGTACTGCTTAGTCGAAATTTCAACAGTAAATACCAACTGATGAAAAAAATAACCAAAATAATGACGCCGGCATTTTAAATGCATAAAAATAAATATCCATCAGTTATCTCATTTCCCCAGTTTCCTCTGACAAGGAATTCTAGTTTATACGAATAAAATGACAGTATGCTACAATGGCAATACGACTTTTTAAAATGTTATTTGTACTGTACCGCCGTTGATTCAATCGAATTTGATCGGTCCCTATTGGCATACGGGCCCCTGGGGGGATGCCTTGATATTACCTGTTCCAACTTTATATTATTGATTTGTGGTAGCTAGCATCGGAATTCAGGATGCGCGTTTCGTCCAAGTTGAGACTCGTCAGATGGATGTACCTGTCTCCCAGCGAGAGACGCTGTTCCCAGAAATACTATATCCGCTGCACAAGTGGCTATCGTAACTCGGTGGCCTAGTAAATAGTACTCTGGTGTTTGAAGCGATTGGTCCCAAGTTCGAGCCCTAGTGGGAATAACGTCGTCCATTTAGAGGCAAGCACATCCAGCTGGATTCCGATGCTATCCACTATCCACCAATAATATGAAATAAGACTAACTGTTGAAGAAAACTACCGTTTAGTCATTTTAATGCTGAAATGAATAGCACTGCATTCAAATGAATCTATCGCACAGATTCATAACTTTATTGTAACTCGAATGAGTCATAAATGCAAATTGAAAACTGCCCATGTTCACAGCAATCGCATATTTTGGCACTTTTACTATGGAGAATAACCTCATAAAACGTGAAAAGTATGAATTTCCCAGCACAATTAAGCTTAATAGTCAAATATAAACATGAGGACGTGAAGATTAAGCACTGTTAGTTGAATCGTTGAAGATAATGGTTTCACTCTTTTGGAATCTGGTATATTGCCAAATATTTGATGCTGAACAAGTGAAATAATCATCAGTCATTTGCTTAGTAAAACCTTTCACTGATTTATTTTACCAGTATTCTACTACTCTAGCATCATTGAGTAGTATGTTGTGCAGATTTATTTGAAATAATATTCATAAAGTTTACTCATCTCTTAGTTGTAAATAACTCCATTCCCACTGAGATGTGTTGACATTGTTTTTATAAAGAAATTTAAGAATTATGAGTACACGCATACATGAAAACAAACTATAAATTGTAAGAGAATGCATGAATATGAGCGGAAAGAATTACTCAGATTGTATGCATGTACACCTTATATACACCTTTGTTTACTATGGATAATATTAGCGCATCCTAAGGAAAAACTTGTAAAATATTGGAAATATGATTAAGGATAATTTACCACAATTTTGCTGATGAAAGCATCGCGTGAAAAAAAGTATTAGAAGATCGAACTACGTCATAACTCAGCAGCCAATACAATTGCAATACATGAGAGGTTGAATAAGTTAGAAAATTGAATAAAGAGTGAATGGAATTTTCATTCGGCTGATATAACATGAAATGATTGAAACATTTCATTACTTCATACTTATTCCTTTGACTAGAAGTCGGTACAGAATAATCCTAAAGCATCATCTAATACTTCAGAAGTTTTGAGCGAATACTGAAAATACTTAGATTTTCGCTATTAGCGTTCAGCAGGTACTGGTCATTTTAAAGGTCTTTATCCGACAAAACTATACCATCTTCAGTCAACTAGATGTTCTCCAGATGAGAAGTCGATTCTTGAAAAGTAGAAGGTAAACCATTTCACTTCAATCATTATCTCTATAGCAAAGTTAAGTGGAAATATTGACAGTGGACATCAATGAAAAGACCACTCTGTTGTCGTCACATATCATGAGAATGCTAAATAAGCTTTAACACAGCTGTCTGAACTTTTAAAAAGTAACCAGTAGTGTAGTATATTTTATAAGGAATTTCAGTCAGACACTGATATTAAACCTCTTGATAAACAGACACCAAAACTGCCTTCGGGTCAATCAGTGGTGCAAGTGTCATGCACCAGCAGATATCGGTGTATTCTAGGAAAATTCGCGGGGTAAATTTGTGGTCAATTTACCCTCATTCAAGACTGAAACTGGCTTGTCCATTTCAAGTTTGTTGTGTGCGAATTCAGTTGATTATGGACCCTAATATTATATAATATCAACTGATAGTAAACCGAAGGAGATTAATAGAGTATAAAAGCAATAAGAAAAAGAGCAAATTGAACGTGGCGCACACTTGTTTAAAGGAAACATAGAACTTCGATTTATTATGCCATAAAATCACAGAAACAGTAGGTTTGATAACATTTTTTTATGTAGCTGTTAGTTTTAAATCATTTGATCACTGGTAATGGAGCAAAATATAAAGCAGGATGACGTTTCTTTGTCTGATAACAATAATAAAAGTAGTTTAAATACTTCCATTACCTTCTCAACTGGCAATGAGATGTAGGATTGTGATCGCAAAAGGGTAGGAAGCCATAAGATTGTAGTGGCAATGTAGTGAATATGGACTGCTCCTCAACAAGAGATTGTCAACTTTCTATCCCATTTTAATCATGTTGTCCTGAAATTATCGTAAAGAAGAGTTGAAAATGGTTGGTTCTCAAGAACACTCGTTTTGGTTGTGTTAAATCACATCCGACAAAAGGTAACCTAAACATTTTAACTCGGTTTCATTTAATCACATTTAAGCGAAACACCCACTACAATAATGATTCCAGAGGTTATACGGAAAATAAGAGGTCTATAAATATCAATTGTGCCAAACAAAATTGAAAAAAATCAGTTTGAAGTACTGATCTATTCATCGAAAATGGACCCTCTGGACTCAAGAACAAGACTTATGGTAGGTAATGAATATTTGTAAATATTCGTATATAGAAGGCTATGAGTGTTAACGACAACAAAACTACTTTCAGAAAGCTTCACTATTTACCTTTTTCAAGGTAGCTCTCTTATTAGTTCACCTTACGTTTAATATACTAATATTTTCAATTCCGAAAAAGGGAGAAATTTCTGTATATGTACACAAGTGATCTGATTTATGTTTGCCAGTCCCTGGGACGATAATTCACCTCCATTCAGAACTCTTGTTTTGTTTTCTGCGTTCATCTGAGAGTACTAAAGTTGTTGATATCTCATCTCAGATATTGAGTCGAAAACGTAACTGTTATTTAGTACTGAGGCGTATAGTTGGGTTGGCGAAAGAATATAATAATTAGTCAAATAATAACACACCTTTTCAGTAGAGTACTGTGGACATACAGTAATGTACATAAGATAATTAATTTCCCTCAATAAAATCTGCAACAATACACCCATTAGAGAGTAAAAGAAGTCTAGAAGATCTACTTGTTATATGTAATACTTTGGTATCTTCCTTAACATAATGTACATGATATATATATATATATATATATATATATATATATATATATATCGTTGGTTTCATATACAACGAGGTACAAGTGAAGAAATCTCTAGGAAAATAAGCGCTGATATCGACTAAGTTTATAGGTTGAAAGCTTGTTGAAGCAACGCTCAAGAAACAGTAGTGAACAACTGTAATGATAATAATAGTAATAATAATAATAATAATAATATTAATAATAATAATAAATAATAGTCAAACTGAATTTAAACATTTTACTTGTTTACAACTTAAAAAATATGTTACATGTTATTGCAAAGAGAGTGGATACGAGATTACTATGCAACAAAAAGGATGAATATTTTTGAATAAATGAGAATAATGTCGAGGATATTAACCAACTACTTCTCTACTGAAATGCTTGTGATATAAATAGAAAACAATAAATAAATAAGTAAATACGATAACACTTGGTTGAATATTTAAATTACAACAAGTAGTAAAGCCGAAGATTAAAAAAAAAGAGGAACTTGGAGATTCATTGAGCTATCATCTACAGCAGTGACGGAAATTATAGAAAGGATAAATTAAGAGGATGTATGTACAAAAAAGTAAAAATAAATGAAATAACATCTACCATAAAAGTAAGAAGATGGACAGTAACAGAGGTGGGAAGCATAATGTTGTATTGAGCAAAAGGTTTGTTCTACTATCGAGTATTATCGTCTTCTCCATACTGAACGGTATTGGTCAACAGAATTAATGTGATGTTAGATTAGCAATGTGCCTTCTCTCTCTCTCTCTCTCTCTTTCTTTCAGCCTTACTATAAACCAACAGCACCAACAAATATAGACAACATGTGAAGATTGAGAAAAAGTTATCACAAAGCTTGGAATGCAGAGAAGATAATAGTTTAAGTGATAGTGTTGACTTATATTACTTAGGAAGTAGTGATAGTCACGAGTTTGATCGGTAGAGTGTTGTCAAGAGGAGAACTTCACGCTTTGAAATTCAATCAGGCAAATATATACACGCTTTTGGTAATTGATCTATTCGCAGTACCTAATAGAAAATAAAGAATAAGGCTGAAAATGAAACTTCCTATATATATATATATATATATATATATATATATATATATATATATATATATATATATATATATATATATAGTTGTTAAGACATCGTACAAAGTTAACGAGATGATTCATTACAACTTATTACAGTGACAAGTAAATTAGGAATGATAAAAGTTTAAGTCCCCTACAAGGTGTCTCTATAACTTCTCCGAATTAACAAGCAACCAAAATAAAAGTATTTAGAAATCCATTAAATGAATAATGTCATTCATATTACATACTGTAATTAGCCATGTCATATGACTAGTACGCAACTTAACTAAGCAAGTTGATCATATGAACAGAAAAATAAATTCCATTCCGAAATGTTTCGATAGGAAAATAATACAACAAAGTTTAACAAAAAGCCAAAATATTTATACAGTCGATAGTTGGGCTCTGTTAATTGTGAAGATAAAATTGGACCGCATAAGCTAACGTATTAAAATATCGAATCATCAAACAAGTATTCAGCCACTTTTTTGTTTCAGTAAGAAAGATTTATACCAGTAACTGGCGTTTGACGCTTGCGCATGTTACACTTTTAATAATATAGATTATTGAACCACTCTACGATGAATTTGGGCATTTGTGGGGATTTAGAGATTTTTCAAAATGGTATTTATCATGGACTGACTGAAGAGTCCCATACTAGGACGAAACAGTAATCCAGTACTCCCAGGTTTCCAATGTTCCTCTAACTGATGTCAGTCCATGATAGATACCAACTTAAAAAAATCTCTAAGTCCCCACAAACCCCCATATTCAATTAAACTAGTGCACATTGGTGACTAGTTTCGACAGGTGAGAAGTCGTAACCAGTGAAGCAAACCTGGTGGCCATGAGGACAAATATTCAACGATGACATTGGGTTGCGTTTGTGTCATGTTTTGAACTGACAGACGTTGGAAATATGAACCACTGGATTTCGACCCAGTGACTCAATGGTAAGTGCTCGCCACGGAACCTGAAGGTCCTAGCTCCGATCTCTGGTGGGGTCGTGGGTGAGCCCTGCTGAAGATTCTCATACTAGGACGGAATAGATGTCCAGTCCTCCCAAGTTTCCAACCTTCCTACAACTGATGTCAGTCCATGATGAATACCAACTTGAAAAAATCTCTACAATGATCCTACTATGTGTAGTAAACGTGCGAAGAACCAACAGTCTTAATTAAATTCAGAAGAAAGTTTAAGTAGTAGTGTTATGATGTCTGAACAGAAAGTAAGTGATATGTGTAGCTGATGCTATATGCTTTGAAGTAAGCTTCGATGGGAAAATTTAAACAATAAACATTTCAAACAGACATCGCTTGAAGAATAACTTTGAACCGAAGGGAAATAACTAACTCAGAGTTCGGGATTGTCTGAAAGAATGTAAAAACTACGATATTCAAAATTAAAATTTAACCATTAGCATAAATGTATTTGAAGACCTGTAAAAATACATTGGTATTATTGCTTACATGGTGAGTCAAGAAAAAACGTAAAAGGCAATGGCAGGAGGGTGTTCCAAAACACCGGACAAGCTTAAAAAGAGAGATTCATGCTCTATGACATCAGAATTAGAGTGTTAGACAAAGTATCTCACGAAATAATTTGCTGGAACCTTTCTACAATCACCTTCAGACTAGACAGGAAGTGAGTTGGTGTATAACGATGTACAGGACAGCATAGTATAGTTGTAGCATTTGAGAACTAGAGAACAATGACAAATGCTGAGAGTTTGTAAAATATGAGAAGCAAACTCTAGGGGACTTTACATGATTACCTGTTTATATATGCTTACCTGTCTTAGGTTTACATTTGGTTAGGGTTTAGTAACGTATGGTAAACGCACACTGCTATCCACAGTGGAGTAAAAACACATCATAATTCCTTGTTTTTTAGAGGTTTTGGCATTGTGTTTATTTCATATAAAGTAACTTCATCCGTTACTACATTTTGCTTTAACAACAATTCACTGTTATATATATATATATATATATATATATATATATATATATATATATATATATATATATATATATATATATATATATATTAGTCACGTTTTCCAAATAGTACGGAAATTAACGAGATACAGATCCGATGTGTAGATTTACGCTGACTTAATTCAATGATTTAGAAAACTGAAGTGTCGAATACTTGGAACTAAGTGGATCATAAGTAGTTTTCTAATAAAGTAAAGGTCATTAGTTAAGCACAATTTAAATTAACAACTTTATAGTGAAATGTCAATCATTCTTAGTTGCTTAATTACTAGAATCTACTTTCAAATAGTTCCATATACGATCTACTAGTTGTACGCATAGTTTGTACTAAGAGAAATACTTATGGTTTCTTTAAGATTTTGTAGTAGTTTACAGCAACTGTGAAGTTCCAGCAAATATAAAAGAACTTACCAATTTGCATAAGGTTTTCAGGCTTAAAATTATATTCAATCTTTTCTTATGGACTTATAAAGTATGCACTAATGGTTAAGTAAACAATCAGGTGACTGACACACTGAACAAAGCAGACGATCCCTTTCGTATGTAATATTTTTGAAGCTCTTTCTACTTTCAGACCCCATTCAAGATAGCTAACTTTGTGAAATATGCAACTGTATAGTGATTTGCTTACAGTTACAATTTCATCACATTATTTTGGGTAAAAATTTTGCTATCTCATCATCATTATTATCAACATAGGACCAGGCATTACTGCCTCACGGTCCGAGTTGCCACACCTCATATCAGCACATCAAGTAAGAAGATAGTGAGGCGAAGGATGAAGATAAGTGAATGCAGTCAAAAGAAATATAAAGTACGAAAAGAAAAGAAAGAGGAGTGACAAAATGGTGAGATTCGGTATAGCGTTGTTAAGATGAGGATAATGTATGTACATATCTGCGCCACTGACTTCGGTTCTGAGCCATATCACCTAGGGTCTCCAACCACTGGTTCCTCTTGTCCCGTGGACCCCAACCACCTAGTCTGCATCGTCCTACATGGCTTAAACCAATAGTCAGAGACTTCATACATTGGTGCCATGTTTTAGTCTGGCCACCTCGAGCCTTTTTCCAGCCTGGACCCATCTCAGCCAACACTGTGTGACAAGGCAATCGGTGACTAGGCATACGTAGTACGTGTCCAAACCATCTCAGTCGATGAAGGTTCACAACCTCGTCAACTGACTTACCTCTTCTCCCCAAAACTCTACACCTAACTTCTGCATTACTCACATGGTGACACCACGGAATACGTCCTATATTACGAAGGTAACGGTGATCAAACACCTGAAGCCTTTTTGTATCCTCCACTTTCAGTGGCCATGTTTCACAGCCATATAGTAGAACAGAGAGGACTGCTGTGCAGTACACGTGACCCTTAATAGACAAACGAATATCACGGCGGCGCCATAGGTGGCGCAAATTGGCAAAATCCAGCCAATCGAGCCTTTTGTATCCGTGCAGAGATCTCATCGCCAACTAACCCACCACGGTTGATCCTACTTCCCAGGTAAGTGAAGTGGTCAACACACTCAACCACTTCACTCTCTATTGTTAGCCGCGGTACCACTGAAGACCAGTCCTGGAGCAAAAATTTGCATTTGGGTGGTGAAAATCGCATCCCAAACATTCTCAAATTCCCACTCAAAGTGTTCAGAAGACTCGGCATCTCATCAGTCAGCGTCTTCACCTAACAGGACTATGTCATGTGTATATTCTAGATCTAAAGAAAATTCACCTGTGATTGGATCAATGTCTGTGTAATTAGGTGACGAGAGGGAAACCTCCATAAGAATATCTATGATAAAATTAAATAAGAATGGGGATAGTGGGCATCCTTGACGGACACCACTTGATGAGTATAGCTCCCTGGACAATTCGCCATAGGCTCTAACATGCCCACAAGTGTTCGAGTAGAGAGCTTCTCGATTGCCGGTTATTCAGGAAGAATACTTACACTGAAGCCTATAATTATTATCAAAATCATTGTAAACAAAATTCTGATATGTTTACCAGTTTTTGGTTGAGGTTAAGATAGCCATTACAACTATGAAGTAGTATTTTTACCCTAACAATAATGAACATGTATAGTTTTTTTTGAATTCACTGAAGCTTTAAATGAAGTAAAAGATTTTAACTCAAATTGTGTTTTATCTGACTGCTTTATCTGACAAGATAGAAGAAAGGTATCTCATTGTATTGATATTTTGTAATAAGAACCTACTTCAAGAAAAACAGTTATACAAGGTCAGTCAACTATCATAAAACTCATTTTGTCCACATAAGGAGTAGAAAAGATGTCTTAAGAAGGCTAGAATAAGGTGTAACATCAACGTATATAAGCAACTAACATGGATCAAAGTGATAGAAGAAAACAAAAAGTAGCAGGAAGTCGTTTTAATGAAGAATCAATTTCGTTACGATGACCTATAAAGATTACTTAATGTCATCTTAATGTTTCAGTAAAATCAGTACTTTTATCATATCTACAGTGAATTTAAAGTAATCGAACGTGAAATACGATTAACTTTCATTGAGAATTATAGTAGGTAAAATATACTAAAAAACTTTAAAAGACTAGTATATTTATAGATAATATTACTATTAATTAGGGACTCTAGACAAAATATTTTTGTGTACAGCAATAAAAATAACCTTTTAGAATTCATATAATTGAAAAAAAACTAGCCAAAAATTACCTTAGGTGAATAAAATGAATGCAGAAGAGATATAACTGAGCAACCATGTGCACATCTATTGTAAGAGCTGGTGATAATAATTGGCTGCCTAAACTTTGGTAGATTGTATGGAGTTCGAAGCAGTGACCCCACTGGGTGGAAGGAAGTTAGTCAGTAGCTTAAATTAATATATTCCAACTACTACATAAGTAATTACGACTCCTACGTCTGCAGGAAGTTATTTAACTTTACCTTTTCGTCAGTCTCTTGTACAGTACTGCTTTACATCTAACATAAAGTAAGACTTTTTACTCATCTATGAATAATCCCCTCATGTTAGTTGATGATTTTAAGAAAATGTAACCTGCACACTTAAATAAAGACAGGATCACATAAAAATAAACAGTTTAAATGATATACTGCAACTTTGACAAAGACTGAGAACAAATGAAATTGAAGGTTTGAAATCAGCTGACGATTTACTTCGAATCAGACATTTATTTGAAATTCTATGACACAATATAGGACAAGTGACCTTAAAAACTAATTAAATGAATGAATTCGCTCTAAAATGCTTCAACAGATTTAGTACAGACTACGATGAAACACCTTCAAGTAAGTGTCCCCACTTTTAATAAACAAAAGGACCGTCATTTAAAATTTATTTGAACATTATGAAATTACGTATTGAGATAATTTCGAGTGTACGAGATAAATGGAAAAAATAAAAACAAAGGGGAATAATATATATGACAATGCCACATGAAAAATCAAGCGTTTAGTGATAAGCATAAATTGAGGACCTAACCTTGATAGACCTCAATGAATTAGTCAACGAGAAGATGAAAATAAGATGTTGATACATTGTAAAAAAAATGCGGATTTGAATACACTTGCCTACAAACATCCTCGAAAATGATTTATCATTCTTTGCAGATGAAGTAGCAGATCTATACATAATTCAGTTGAAACGGCTTTAATTCTAGATAGTTCCAGCCTATACGAAAAGTCAACCAAAACTTTGTAAAAAATTATACCAGCATACGTACAACTGAAGTCTTACCATTTTCTTTTGGGTATAACATAGAAAAACTGAATGATCAATTTACAAATTATTTACAACATCTACGGTGATATTTCTCATGTCAGTATTTTTTTCCAACTCCCTAAATGTGGTTTTAACTAGGTTTCCATTGAGGACTACTTAACTAACAATACGAAGTTTGATCTTCAACACAAAAGTGCTACGAAATAAGGAAATATAATGCTGAACAAAGTGAACAGTTAGAAACCACCACCCAGAGAATGATAGCGATTCCACCGAAAGGCACAGAACCATTTAACTGGGCTGAGTTATACTACTTTTACTTTGATAGCAACATATCACTTTACTCCACCCTAGCCCCCAAATTATTATGAGTTCAGATATGATGCATGATGATGTGGTTGAGTTCTACTGATTTTAACAATTTAAGGTTGTGTGAAGTAAAATAAGTAATTCTTAAACAACAGAAATATCAACTTAGACAGTTGTGGGTGACGATGCATACGTATTGTAACTGTATACTTTGGTGACAACGCTTAGAACTGAATAAGGCATCAAAACTTCAAACTGATCAGATTAATATTCACTAAACACTAGTTGCATTCACAGTTGATATGGACGTTATGATAAATGCAACGTATCTGGATTAAATATCTAGGACTGTAAACATACTCTCCCAAAGAGTTATAGGTTCAAGCTGTTCTAAAAAGTTTATCCAGTTGTACCGAATCGCTGATTCTTGTTTCTGTAGCTTACACTACATGAATAAGGTTGATAAACTTTGTATAATAACAAATTTTTTCACTGAACATGTCATTAAAAGTACTGGTGCTGACTCATGGTATCTAATAGTCTGCAGTCATTTCATTCATGTTTCCGTTGTACAACTTAATCCATAAATGTCCTCATTTGTTCAACAGTAAACTGAAATGCACACAGATGCAGTACAACTAAAACGTAGGAACTACAATCTGTCATGTCAGTTTAATGGAATCAACAAGTTTGTGTGAGACTGAGAACATTATTTTAAAACCAGAGTGAATGATTTGGCTATAAGTATCATAAAACCCACATCTTCCTGTGACAAAATAAAATGAATCCGCTAATTATATTTTTATTATAGCATACTAATCAGGTCCAATCGAAAAGCCTAATTATAAATATGATGAAAGGTTTTACTTCTCAATTATGAGATTATTTATATAATCATTTTTCGTTTGATTCAAGGAAATAAGAGTTTTTACCTGTTTAGTAAACAATTAAAAGATTTTATTTATTCTACTAGCGTTATGCTTTCGAACGCTAAGAGTTATATATATTCCGAATGATAGGATACGCACGCTTAGCTGACAGCCAACCTAGTACACAAGAGCCATTGACTACAACCCCGGGACGAATAGAGAGAAGATCGAAGCTGGCAGATGGAAAAGTTTATTACTCCGAGAATATAATAATAAATCAATCCTAAAAAATGTGAATAAGTACATGAAAAATGACCTTGTCCTCAATTTGAGACATTTGCATAGCAAGAGTAGAGATTAACCAATTAGCGATTTACATAACAATGGGTGCAGAAAGTAGACTAGTCATACTGTAAAAATGGTGTGGAAATCACACGCTCCCAGGTTTCCTGTGTTCCTCCAACTGATGTCAGTCTTCGATGAATAACAACTTGAAACATGTTAAAATGTTCAGATCAATAACAATGTTTTATGCAAATCTGGGGCATCAAAACAACTAGCCTGTGCAATTTTGTACCAAGCAGATGCCTAACATTTGCCAAAACTAATCATCAAAAAACATGAACCCAAAAATCATACGTGACAACTTCCAGGTTGTGAAACCACTGGTACTAATCACATGATTTGTTAGTTATATTTGGTCCACTCCTAGACAACATTTTCTGGTATGAATTTCACTGATGACCATTTAAACTAGTTTATCAACGGATTTAACACTCACACTCTATCAGCTTTCCAGGATTACGATCTGGGCTGAAGATTTACCACTGATATGAATGCATGGCGAAACGTACAACCAAGCAGAATAACGAAACAAATCAGACTTATTCACTTCCTAACCGGGAAGCGAAAGTAAATAAACAACCATAGAAAAGGAATGATGGTGGCTAAAACTAGTATAATGAGTTTTTTTAATCGTTAGTACAAAGTAAGTGGTCAATTTCACCGAAATACGATATAAGCAATGAGTGAATTACACGTCTGATTCTAGTTATCATCAAGACATTAGCTATAATCCATATTTATATCTAATTCGAGTCAGTGTGCAGAACTCAAACGAGCTGATATCGGTTGTGCATTTTGTACCTGAAAAGAATTTCAGGTCGGTTCTTCCAACTTTTCAGGCGACAAAAATGTTTATCAACTTATCAGAACTAGATCTATAACATACATATATTACACAACTTGAATATACCCAGTATATGTTATATATACTGGACTATGAGCTACACTTGTAGTGTCGGGGATTACAATACTATCCAGGTGCTCACTTCGAAGTACTTTGGTCCGGGTTTGAACCCATAATCCTTCGGTCAAAAGTTAAGTGCTTAAGCCTTATCTCCACGTGACTAGATGGACAGAAAGTTACCTTATTAAATCACAAGGGAAGGTTTTACAGAACTGGAACTCAATGTGCAGAAAAGTTCTCCATACTATTTTTTGACGGTTTTTGAAGTAAATCATTTCCCTTTCTTACTTAACACTTTTTCCAAGTGGGAGAACCCACTCATAGTCAGAAACAAACAACTGATGGCGTCGCATAGTTCTGATATCTCGATGCCTACAGTGAAATCAAGCTTATTCAACGTTTTAATGAAGTAAAAATAGTTCAGATACGAAACTTGTAGCTTAAAATCTAACCACCGGGAAGTATACACATAGAGCTTAATGACGTCATAAGGTGAATATCTCACGTGATCATCTTGTCATCTTGCGATACTCATGATTCCACGCTAAGCTAGAAGCATAAAACCTTACGGATAGTTTGTTGGGGTGATATGGTTTCCTACATATTATTCAGATATCAGTAGATTAAAAATATGAAAAGGACATACATATTCCATCAAAGTTGTTGTTTCAGAAGATCTCTGTTTGACTAAGGACAAACGTAGACCAATACTACAATACAGCCGAATATTTTCAGCTTCCAGTATTTTTTGCAGGTCTCGTCTTGTTCGTCGACTCAAATGAATCACTGGCCACAGCGAACACCCTGCTGTACAACAACAGCATAACAATCCACAGACGAACCATCGAACATGGCTAGGTAGTGAACTTTCCAAGCGGTCGTTAATTTTTCGTATACTTTCTTCAAACTCTTCAGGCGCTAATTTGCCGTGTAATTCATTAGGAAAGTCTTCCTTGAATTTGTTATTTATTCCAAAGCTATAATCACAAAAAGAATAACGTACAGCAAGTCAAGATAATAATATAAACACAAATTAAACTGTCCAAGAAATTAGTTTAATAGGAAACTTCTTGATTACTCAACAATAATGGTAGACAAATCCATAATTAACAACTTGTAACCCTTTTGCAATAGTGCATCGAGTAAACTCGATACACTTCTATATCTACAAAAATGAGCAAATATAGTAACTAAAGCAGTGGATACTAATCAGTGTATTAGGAAATACTAAAATAACTACTGCTCAATTCTACAGAGATTCAGACAGACAAAATCAACCTCGCATACACGTCAATCACCTCAAGTTGCCACACTTCGCAGAAGTATACAAAAAACAAGTGGATAAGAAAGGCTGGTGTCGAAGTCCACAAAGGTGTATGCGGGGAGAGTAAATCCAAAATTAAGGTCAGTCAAAACACTCGAGTTGTACCAGACGTCAAAAAGTGAATAACATCTGAGTCATTATGAACGGTTTTTAGCCATTTCACCAAGATTCCTAAACCACTGATTCCTACCGTCTTGGAGACCCCAGTCAGGGAGTCTACATCTTTCTACACCACTTAGACTAACAGCTAGGGACTTCATCAACTGGTGCTACTTCTTGATCTTGCCACCCTGAACCCTATTCCAACCCATTCCAACTTCCCCTAGTATGGCACGCCTAGGTGGGCAGTGGCTTGGCTTGTACAGTATGTGTCTAACCTATCTCATTCGGCGAAGGTTCACAACCTTACCAACCACCGACTTGCTTTCCTTGCCTAGTACCCTTCACCTGACCTTAAGACTACCCACACGGTGATTCTACCAAACCCGAGCTGTGCTACGAAGTCTGAGATCATAACCCTACAACCGCTTCATGTCGTTTACTTTTAACGACCGCCTCACAGCCATATAACAGGACCGAACGGACTGCAGCGCAGTATACCTGTCATTGGGCAGATAGTCGGATATCTCACTAGTCGGAGCCACAGACCACGCAAGTTAGCAAATGTCAAACGGGCCTACCGTATCCGAGCTCAGATTTTGTCACCAACAAAACAGTTAGGGCTGATGCAACTTCCAAAGTAAGTGAAGTGCTCGACACTTTCCAACACCACTCCCTATCATTAAGCTGGGAGTTGTTGCAAATGAGTCCTGGAGCATCATCTAACATTTGACAGGTGCCAGCGAAACGCATGCTAAGCATACATCGATCTCTGCTCAAAGCGTTTATAAGACTCAGCAATTTGTTAGCGTCTTCACCCGGTAGGATAATACCATCTGCATGCTCCATATCAACCAGATGACCTCAGGGGGTTAGTCAATCGCTGTGAAGTCAGATGTACATAGGGTTACGTCCATTAGTGCGTCTACGATGAAATCAAACAAGAATGGTGACAATGGGCATCCCTGGCGGACACCACTGGTTGTCAACTTACCTGATAACTATCCATAAGTCTTGACACGGCTACATGAGTTCAAGTAAAGAGCTCTGATTAGCTTTGCATACTTGCTCGGTACTCCCTTCCTAGTCAGGCACTACCACATCTCACGGTCGACAGAGTCAAATGCCACCTTGAAGTTAAGAAATATGGTAAGTGTCGACTGTCGGTAAGTATACCTGTGTTCCAAAACCCGTTGAAGGGTGAATGTAATCGATGCAACCTCGTCTAGGTCTGAAACCTGTCCATTTTCCTCAATTTTGCTGGGAACTGGTACTTTTTTCGCTTACAAAATCAAATTCAATGCGTTGAAATCAAATGAAAGGCTTGACTTTCAAAATGGAATATCACCCCTCTGTTGAGTTCAGTTTTAAGCAAAAACTTGTAGAATGCTTATTTGATGACTACAAAAGCCACTTTTTTGCTAAAATGCTAAGGTATTCAGAGCGTTTGGAAGTTTAAAATTCGATGGTGACAATATTCGAAGAACCACATGCGACTGCATCGTGACTGTACTACAGAATCACAGGGTCATGACCAGTATTCTCTAGAGTTCGGGAGTGAAACTGCACCGACTCGCCGAGTTGATTAGATCTTGCTTACTTTAAAAAGCCAACTGAAGAAAGTATTTGGGCACAGAGAAGTTATATCGCCCACCGTAGTTTAAACCATTCCCCACATACTTTAGTTTCCAAGTATTGGGTATGTAGTGTGTTGATACTACGAGCCATAACAGAGGATTCACTTACCTTATCTCTATTTTCGTATGAAGTCCTAATAATGGCTACCGATGCCTTCTTGTTACTGAATGCAAGTGCTGAAACCGGCTGCAAAGTACTTTGATTTATCTTTAAAATCAGACAGAGGATAGGTACGTTACACCTCACGGACAAAAAGATTTTCTGTTTCGTTATTGTATGATTATATGCATCACAAAAAATACTGCAATTAGGCAAAGTCAGGAAGAAAGGCACTTAGATGGCACTAGGATTTTCAGTCAAACGATCAGATAACGGTGATTGCCTGCTAAAACTGCCACCATTATCACCAACATACGACCAAATTAAAACTGTGTTAAAAAACCCATCTATTTCCGGTCAGTACCAGCTTCAAACGGGAAGAAAGATATTGACTCGTGGCATCCATCGACCTCGACTCAGTGGTGCACACAGAAAGGCCATATTGCCGTCAGTTATTGTTGAAGGTTGGTAGAAGATTAATGCCCTTTCGTTGCATCTACTTAAGTCAATAAACTATTTCTTAAAAATATATGGCTGTTATAAAACTAATTCATCATAATAATAACTCAATTGAATAAATATAAACATGAACAAAAATAAAATGAAGAAACAGTATGAAAAGTAATATTAATCATCGTGTAGTAGGTTCTTGAAAAAGAATCGCATTTTGCAACACAAGTCCTTGAACTTACCACAGCAAACTGGTTGGTAAGCTTGTTCACAGATAGTTGCACGCCTAAACTAATTTTGTGCAGTCCCAACTGTAGAAGACTTATGCACTAATATGCTACTTTTTGATATATGGAAGCGATTATAAATAAATGAAAATAAAAATTTTGCTCTCCAACAGCGACTGCGAAATGATCTCGAGCACACCAACAGGAAGACGGTTGCTTTATAACCTTGATGCAAACATGGATGGAAATTAGAATAAATATACTTGTTCAGAAAAGTATCTAGGTTTGCGACTGGTTCTTACTGTCTGAAGTCTAAATACGTATGACAGAGACATACATTCATGTTACTCTATAACATTATGCTGGCTGAACTGATGAATGGACTTGAGAAAGCCTTCAGATGGCACTATTTATATAAATTTTTTGGGTGTCCGAATTGCAATTAGGCACAGGAGTAACGAAACTGAATATTAAGCATTGACCTACGGATTTCGGAGTACTAAAAACCATAAATTTTGTCATGTGAAGATCAACATAGAAGCATGTGACTATAAACCGAGACAAGTGACGAGACCAACCTGGAGAATTCCCTACATCTTTTAGAGATTTCAGCATAACTCAATCATTCACTGAATAATATATATGAAACATTTGAAATGCATCCATCTATTCACAAAAATTAGAAAAATGTGGACTGTACATTTAGTCTAAGCTGCTTGGTCTAGAAAGTTGAGTTCAAGTGAAATATATGTTTTTCTGTGGGAAATGTAAATACGAAAATCGCAGGTTCGCACAATAACACGGGACAAAGAGACTAAAGAAACAACGTGGTGACTTGAGAAAAGATAAATGAACTGAGGAAAAATATTTAAGATGAATAAATGACAGTACAATACCTTACTAACCAAAATAAGATTGAATCTACATACGTAGCACACTTTAGGACATCATACAGATGAAGTAGATAAATAAGTAACTCACATTGTTAAATCCCCACAACCTTTTACAAACACAGGTTCGCGCGGTCTCTCGCACTGACCGGAAGATACGTAATTTAGAAAATCTATCCCATCCGTATCGTCCATGCTCACATGACCCGCCTACCAAAGGCGTCAACTAGATGCTATACTATCTTCAATATTCAGCATCACTAGGCTTCAAACTTCGAGGTGTAGAATCAGTGAACAATGGTATAAGAAGACGTAGCTGATTTTTTCGATCTCTCAGGTTCAATTTTTCGTGCTTAGTTAATATCTTGTGATTTACTCTTGTAATGTGCAAAGAAACTTCTACTTTCCTGCTTTTGGCTCTGGTGAGATGAATGTCTTCATAGATTGGTGTTTGCAACTTGAGAATAAAGTTGTCTGAAGAGCTACTGGTTGCTGGGAAGATAAGAGGTCTTCCGTGACCTCTGGTAGTAATACAGAAAAAAGATGGATCCTATTGGAGATAGGAGGGCTGGGTAACGTGCTGATGGATGAGCACATCAACACTTGCTACCAGCGAATGCAGCGGTAAACCATCTGCACTTACGCACTTATCCAGGAGTCATTTGGAGGAGCTGATTGATGCAGTTGCTGCCACTTCTTTTTCAGAGCTTTCCATAAGGCACACCAGGTTTGAGAAGAAGTTAGGTCCTACCCTATTATTCGCCTCTTGGTGAGGCGCGCGAGTGCAGTTCCCACCAGACTGTCGGCATTGAACTGATCATGCTGTCCCGTTGCGGTGGTCCACTTGATGAATGAGCCTGTAGGCTGTTGGCTTGTCATCTCTTTTCCCACAATGGTTTAGAGCGCAAAAGTCGGGCGACGAAAGGCATTTTGCTTATTTTTCGCCCACTGGTCCGAACACACCCTGTCGCTCTTTCCTTCATCTTCTTGGGGGTACTTACGTCGCCCTCCAGTAAGGGAGAGGATGCCATATCGAACACAGTTCCATCCAGTCCACGTTTTAATAACTAGAAAAGAGTCAGAGACGGTGAAATTCGAACCAGTAACCTCTCTGTAACCGGCCCAGTTCTCTACCAGTTGAGCTGTAAAACACTGAGACTGACCAGATCTAATTTTAGTTCAACCACCGGGCGCTCTGCTTGCTTGCCCAATGAACTCGTGATGTGTAACTGTCCGTTCACAGTGGTTTCCCAGCACGTATTTCTCATCTCGCATCAAATCCAGCCTAATTAGAGACGGTGTACATGATATTGGTAGTTTGGTTAGGATCCTCCCACGACCCATATTTTAAGTTTACTTTCAGTCATCACTCTATATCAACAGTGCAAGTCTGCAACTACTGCAGACAGTCTGACCGACAAGTGGGAAGATTCTGCATGAGTTTAAAGAAGGGAAGAAAGAAAACAGGGCTGAAGGGAATTCATGTGAATTGGGAAAAGCAACAGAGTGTAACAAAAAGGGGAAATCGCAGAAAGGATGGTGAAATGGGAAATGGTAATGACATTATTATTGTTGAAGTGCAACTGGGGAAGAAGGACTTCTAATGAATGGGAGTGGTATTGAATAGTGTTTTTGATAGGCTTTGGTCAAAGAGATCCAGCAAGGAGGCTTCGGCCGCGATATGACACGGGTTATTTGCCTCAGCCTAATCCACATACCGACCGGCTGAACACGATGCATGTCACTTTGCACCTCTCCAAACCTTTCTGGAGACTGACAACAGATGGGGTTGTCTACGACGGATGTAAAGGCATTCCGGTAGCTGCAAACCTTGGGGGAAAAGAAAAATTATCGTTTGTGGGCATTCATCCTTTGGTTTGCTGTTCTGTTTTGGCTTCCTGAAGGATCGACATAGTACTCTGCATGTAATATTCTCCTATTCGAGTGGCTTGAATACACCAGTATCCGCGCGCTACTTGAATACTGACGCCTACTGCCCCGTTCCTCTTTGGACTAACCATGTACACACGTATCCAATCCGAATTTCCATCTCCGATACTAACGGTTCCGCGAAGAAACCATCTGCGGAACACAAAGTCATAAATCGGCCACTACCACCACTCTCCGAACGGATAACCGTGGGGTGGGTGCATCTGTCCCTATCAGCTACTATGGCTCAGGTAGCTGCATCTGCGGCACTATTCATGTCACTCGGTCGTACACGCTGGGATTGTGGAAAGCCCTCAGCTCTCTTCTGAGTCCTACAGCCAGACAACCGGATGTAAGGTTGACAACTTTATCGTAGGTCCTCAACGTCCTACGTGACAGAAGGATGTTCATCTTGCATTTTCTCCTATCTACTCATCGAAGTGAGTAGCAACAGTGATTCAACTGAATCTGGCCCCGAGAACACCTTAAGGGAAGCCTGACATCAATTATATACCACCCGCTTCTAGATAGTAACAAGGGTCAGAGGTAAGAGAAGTAAAACCTGTCTAGAGGACCACGGGTTGACCTAAGTGGGACGATGACGAATACCGAAATCTCGAGAAAGAATCGAATCATCGTCCCACTAAACACAACGCATCTGTTCTCCATTTGGCGAAGAACATGTTCTACCTTCAAACCTAGCCCAAACCCCAGCCTATCTGTGAAAGCCAACAAGGGGAGACGACAGAGAACGAAAAGGAATATCTTGGCTAGGCCCTTCAGTCATGTGCGCGATTGCCACGCATTGCAGAGGGCTTTCGAGTGTAACTTCGTGACAGTCGAGTATTGTTGACGTGATAAAGACAAACCAGACCAGTGCTATGACTCTATGGTGCGTTACTTATGTTATATCTGCACAGTGGCGCATTAGGCTTGTCCTGTCTGCTTGCTCGCTTGGGGAGGCTGTTAAATACGCCCCAGGGGCTACTCAAGTACTCAAGTGCTGGTACCCGCACAAATCACCACCATGATGCCGGAACTAACAGCGGGTAGAAAAGTATCCTCGTGATGTGTAACAGTGACGGTGCTTGTTAGGAAAGATGGTACTGAAAGGAATAAAGGCGACAGCAGTCCACGAGCCCCATGTCCCCCGCGCTTGGCAACACTGGCATCACCTGGAAGGAGATCACTGACTCCGGGTGCTCAGACCATTGCACCAAAGTGCCGCATACATGGCACATACTCGGGAACGACATCAGTGGAAACGTTTGCTGTTGTAAAAGCAGACCCAGAACGCTGCGACAACAACTAACGACTATCTCGCTTCGTGCTAAGGCAGCCGCTGCTGTGAACAAACAGGACAGCCCCCGAACTTGGCCCTGGCTTGATAGTAACTTTGAAAACCACTGAGCGAAGACTGACCAGCCCGGTTCCACTGGAACTGGCCGGTCGGTGACAATTGGAACCACTACACGCGATACCCCACAGTCTGCCGTCACCGAGACACCATACGTTTTGAACAGCGCTTCGAAGTTTCCTGACGGTTATGTGAGGAGAATTCAAGGTGAGATGGAGTAAATACGACCCCTTCGTTCCCTCCTTGCTCTGAAGACTATAATCTTGACAGAAACTTTTTTGCCGCCGGATATTAGCGATGCAGAGGCTGATACAAAAGGTGTATGCCTGCTAGAAGGGACGGGGAACACAAAGATGCATGGGGAGAGGCAGCATCTACAAGTGACCTTATCAAAAGTGAACGAGCTGCTGAGACTGTGCTGCTAGTGGTCCTAGAAGCCATCTGGCGACAATTCAAGCTCGGACACACTAAGTACTTGGTCCGGGGGTCTATAGGTCTGCTGCCAGCGTGCAACAAAATCGACAACTGCCGCAAGTAATACTCTCAGCGATGACTGTGGGGTTCGACCATGCCATCACAACACAGGTTTTTAATGCCCAAGCTTTCAATCCTGGGCAGAAAAAGGTAAGTTCAAGCCAGACTTTCGACCAAATTCTGCTCAGCGCCATCAGAAAGGCTGGGATACTTGAAATTATAGGCGACGACACTGGCTTGGGGTTGGGCGGAATAGTGTTCAAACCGAGGGATATTCTTATTACAATTGTATGCCTGCTGGTTTCTACACACCTCATCATTCTGTATTACGTTGCCCCTATTTTGATAGGTTTTAGCCTACATCGTTTGTTTAAATGCTTGCATTAACACGCGGCTCCTATTATTCTTGTCGTTGCTGGGATAATTATTATCATTGATATAGTTACTGTTTTCTGGATATCTGCTACTTGCGTGCTTCATGTCCCAGTTACCACAGGCCAAATAATCCACCATGAGGGGTTTACTGTTTTATACAAGAGAAAATTTGCGCATATTAGTCTGAAGCCTGGCAAGAGCTGAATGAAAACAGCATTGTTTCCCTGAATGTCCTGTTCTAAAAGGTTTGTTGTCGGGCCAAACATGTTTTACGGGTGATAGTTTATGCGCATTTTGACGACCTTGTTGCGTTCTACATTCTTCTAGAAAACTCTTCAGCCAGTCTGGGATAGGCATATGATCACGGGAATTTCCGCTAATATTGGGTATGAAACGATTAGGTGTGAAAGCCTCCCAGGGATTTCCAGGCGTGTTTGGGGAATCTGTGGGGTATCGTCGCCTTGCATAACGCGAGGAATTTCTTGGTACTTGTCATGTAGTTGGGCATATGTGGGTGGCTCTGGGTGATCGGCGCAACATCAAAGTGAGGAGACGACAAGATACCATTCAATACAAACCTTACATTGAAGTAAGTTATTATTGGCCAATAAATCTACGAACATAAGAATTGCTGTTAAAATAGACGTTTATCTGACGAAACACTTGGTCTTGTAGATGGGTCAGTCATGTCGACTACTCACACCGCAAACACTACATATTGCGCCTTTTGATGTGGAGAAAGAATTGTGAGCAGAAATGACCTAAACTCAGAACGATGTGTATGTACTGTAAAGCGATATTTTCCTGCTATTTTCATAATATTTAGACACTTGGTATCCTCCCTCTGTATCATTCAATACTGCTAAAACCCTCTATGTTTCTCTGCAATTATCATTTTGATGAGGCCTGTAAACTGGCTTCTCTCATGTTAACTTCATAACTTGAGAATAAAGATATTTATTTATTTATTTATTTAGCCTTTAAGACAGACCCCAAAACCCATACTGATTTGTGGAGAGAAAATCTACTGGCCAAGGAGATCACGTTATGAGAGGCATGA